TCAGGCGGGGCCTTAGCTCCGGGTCCAAAATGGCTTCTCTATGGTACTCACCTTTGCATTGTGAGTAAGGAGAGGGAGGCAGCTGTGATCCTGGGGAAAGCCTCCTGGGCAGGGGCGCGGTAAAAAGGCAGCGGGGGGCATGGCAGAAGACAAGGTTGGGGAAGCGGGCAGAGGCTGGTCCTGTGGTCGCTGCAGGTCTTGGTTAGGGGGTCTCAGTCTGAGTTTAAGTGACATTGGGAAGTCTTGGGGTTGGGGAACACAATTAATTTACATGCTTATCATTCAGGATGGATGGTGGGAGGGAGAAGATGGCGAAGGCCTGGGAGGAGCAGGTGCAGGGAGACCAGCCCAGAGGCCGGTTGGAATGGGGGGCAGCAAAGGCGGTGCGGAGGAGCGGCTGAATTCCAGATGGGTTTGGTGGTGGAGAAGAAAACCCTTGCTGATGGCTGGGGTGTGCGTTGCCAGGGAAAGTGTGGAATTCAGGACGGCCCTCGCGCTTGGCGCCAAGCAACTGATGTACTCCATTGTCTTCTTCCCTCTCATCCATGAAAATGCCAACAGAAATGCGGGTTTGCATGGAAGTCTCCAAGTGAATTTTTAAGACAACAAACACAATATGAGGGCTGGAAGGAACCTCAGGAATCTTTAATGGAACAGAGAGACCTGGAATGTCCCACAGCAGTTTACTGCAGAACTGACAGCCGGTTCACAGACCCCTTGCTTGGCGTTCAGGCGAACATGCTCCATTTAGCAAGGGGTCAAGGTGCAGCAGAGAATCCACGGTTTAGGCTACCAGGAAGTGGTGCTTCTTGAAGCAGTTACTTTATTAACTATTAAATAGATGCTGTTTGTGCATGACAGATAATGTACAAGTATAGAGAATAACAATACAAGATAGGGTTGTGAACGTCCTCAGGCTGAGCCTTATTCTCTTTGTGGTCCCTGAATGCCTCTCCCCAATCCCTTCTCTGACCTGCCTCTTACAGTTTTATCATTCCTTGGCTTTGCTTTATGGCTCTGCTGCATGGCTGTATCGTAAATAGTTGATATGGTTTGGCCCTGTATCCCCACCCAAATCTCATCTCAAATGGTAATCCCCATGTGTGGAGGGTTTGCCACTTCCTGGTAGCCTGAGCCACGGCTTCTCTACCACATCTTGACCCCTTGCTAAATGGAGCATGTTAGCCTAAGCACCAAGCAAGGGATCCATAGTACCCACATGTCGAGGGAGGGGGATGACTGGGTTGTGGGGGTAGTGTGCCCCATGCTGTTCTCATGGTAGTGAGTGAGTTCTCATGAGAACTGAAAGTTTTATAAGTGTTTGACACTTGCTCTTTCCTTCCCTTCTCCCCCTATTTTCCTCCTCCCTCCCTCCACCCCCTCTTCTCTCCGCTTCCCCACCCTCTGCTTCTCTTCCCCTCTCCCCTGCTTCCCCCCCAACCCCGCCTCACCTGCCACCATGTAAAACATGCCTGCCTCGCCTTCTGCCATGACTGTAAGTCTGCTGAGGCCTCCCCAGCCATGTGGAACTGTGAACCAATTAAACTTCCTTTGTCTATAAGTTACCCAGTCCTGGGGAGCATCTTTGTAGCAGTGTGAGAATGGAGTGATAGTATATTGTTTTGTGTGGTTTTGAGCTTTACCTAAATGAAGTCACTGTGTGTCTTCTGATATTTTCTTTTGCTCAACACTTTGTTTTAGATTCATCTGTATTGCTGGTTGCAGCTATTATTCACTAGTTTTTCAGAATCGCATTCTGTCGCATGAACGTATCGGTTTATTTGCCAGTTCTACTGCGGATAGACAGCTGGGATACTTGTAGATGTCTGCTTCTTCAAGTGGTGCAGCTGTGGGGTTCTCGTTCACATCTCTTGGTGTACATGCTCAAGAGCTTTTCTAGGATACCTGGGTAGGACTGCAACTGCTCATTGCTTATCTTCAGCTTTTCGGGATAATGCCAAATTATTTACAGAGATACTATGTTGGTTCACACACCTCCGGTGGCATAGAATTTCTACTGTTCCACATTCCTGTGACATCAATATTGTCAAATTTAAAAAATTTTGCCCACCCAATGAACAGGTACTTCATTTAGGTTTCAGTTTGCATGTCCTGGGTATTAATGAGATAAAACATCTTTTTAAAAATGTTTATTGCCAGCCATAGTCTTCTGATATGAAATGAAACTTCATATCCGTACAGCACATTTTGGTGGCCAGGAGGCGTCATCATCACATTTTAAGAACTGTGTGTCGGGCCGGGCGCGGTGGCTCAAGCCTGTAATCCCAACACTTTGGGAGGCCGAGGCGGGTGGATCACAAGGTCGAGAGATCGAGACCATCCTGGTCAACATGGTGAAACCCCGTCTCTACTAAAAATACAAAAAACTAGCTGGGCATGGTGGTGTGTGCCTGTAATCCCAGCTACTCAGGAGGCTGAGGCAGGAGAATTGCCTGAACCCAGGAGGCGGAGGTTGCGGTGAGCCGAGATCGCGCCATTGCACTCCAGCCTGGGTAACAAGAGCGAAACTGTCTCGAAAAAAAAAAAAAAAAAAGAACTGTGTGTCTTTTCCCCAAAACTTGTTCTAACTGAAGCCTTCCCCCTCTTTGGTGATGCAACTGTCCTGGCTGCTAAGATGCCTTGGGATTCTCCCTGTCTTTCCCTTTTTCTGATCACATCCCCCCACGTGACAGGAAATCCTCCTTTGCAAATGCATTCAGAATCCGACCACTTCTCACCTTGTCTGCTGCCTCCACCCTGGTCCAGGTCACTAGGCTCTGAATTCCTGCAACAAGTCTTCCTCATTTGCTGTCCAGGCCCTCAGCAGCAGTCAGATCACATCACACCTGTCAATAAGCCACAGTGGCTCCTAACCTCTCCCAGAGTAAAAGACAAAGCCTACAGTGGCCCATGTGGTCTTATAGGAGAACTGTGTTTAGGGATGTGGAAAAGAGTGTGTTAGCAGGGGTGATGGAGGTGACCGGGTCACCTATCTTCAGCTGGGCTGGCTGGGACTTACGATGCAATGGCCCATGGCTGTTGAGGGTTCCTAGGGGCCGTAAGAAAAGGTAAATTCTAATACACATGCACTTTCCTATAGCTTTGTATTTTCTAATGTCCCACTGGCCAGAGCAGGTCACCCAGCCAGGCTGATTCTAGAACTGGAAAGCAGAGTCCATTACTTGCTGGGAGGAAGGCCAAAGCCAGACAGCAGAGGGGCGAGCATATAGGGAGTGGTAAATGCGTGGCCGATCTTGAAGTCTACTACCCTGGGTGTCACAACTACCAGCGGTGGGTAAACCTCTAGGAATGACTGCATCAAAGAAAAGTAAAAGGTCTAGATGGTCGGAGTGTTGCATTCAAAAGACGAGAAGTACTGCATGCCTTCACTTTGTGGGATCCTGGTTTAAATGCCATACACTTTAAAATCTAATGTCCTTGCCCTCTGATTTGGAGAGAATTAATGCAGAAATTATCCAGGTTCTTTAGGGCTCCAAACATTCTACAAAATAAAGGTGAGCATTGAATTTAGCCAGTTGAAAATCGTTCCTGGATTATGATCAATGAGCCTGTGGCAGCAGGGCACGTGCTGAGAATCTCCCACCACCACGATGTCCAGGTACAGTCAGCTCACAGAAACCACGTGTTGGGGCCTCCGAGTTCACCAAGCACCATAACAGATTTGAATTGTGAGAAAATGTTAACTCAAAATTGTGAAGAGAAATGGCAACATTTAAATGCACACATATTTGTCTTTGAAGAACTTTGCACCAACATCATTAACTGTAAAATTGATTCACAAAAATCTAAATGACAGCTGGGCGAGGTGGCTCATGCCTCCCTCGAATCCCAGCACTTTGGGAGGATGAGGTGGGAGGATCACCTGAGATCAGGAGTTCAAGACCAGCCTGGCCAACATGGTGAAATCCCGTCTCTACTAAAAATACAATAATTAGCTGGGCGTGGTGGCGGACGCCTGTAATCCCAGCTACTCGGGAGGCTGAGGCAGGAGAATCACTTGAACCCGGGAGGCGGAGGCAGCAGTAAGCCGAGATCGCCCCACAAAACTCCAGCCTGGAAGACAGAGTGAGACTCAGTCTCAAAAAAAGAAAGAAAGAAAAAAATCTAAATGACATTTGAAAGCAATTTGTAGATTTTCACACTTCCTAACAATTCTCAAAGATGCCAAAAACAAAAATCACAGCCACCAGCAATTTAAGTGACTTCCTCGTAGCCAAATAAATCCCAAAGTAAAACTATAAACATTCCCTTAAATTCAAATTTTAGAACAAAAACAAAGATGATGGGGAATGGAGGGTGAGCGACTGTGTTTGACATATTTGACGGTGGTAAATACATCTATTACGTGCTGTTAAGGGTCCACTGAGGGCCACGAAACCGGCCCTCGTGACCGAGCTACCTGAAGGACCTGGCAAGGGCCTCGTGAACTCCACGTGGGGCAGCCCGAGACCCGCATCAGACCCCGAGAAGGCGGGTTCCGCCCAGAGCCCGGCCCGAAACCACCGATTTCCGACCTTTCGACCTACTTCGGCAGCGCCAGGGTTTCGGTGGGGAACTCCCTGCTTCCCTCTGCTCAGGTCGTCTGAGGCTGACTGTGGTGCTGAGTGCTGAGTAAGGGGCGCTGGGTGCTCAGCACTGAGTACTGAGGGAGGGGCACCGTGCAGCTGTCATAAATAATTAGCTCCTGAGAAGAGCAGGAGCTCCGAGACTACGGCCCGGCGGGTGGCAGACGTCTCCGGGCCCCGCCGCGTTCCCCGTCCCCACCGGGCGCCAGGACTGCGCCTCCCCGGCTGGGGAGCCCCTGAGGGCGTGGCCAAAAGCCCCGCCCCGCGGCATCGAGGCCCCGCCCATTCGGCGCCTCCCGGCCCAGAGACCCGCCCGGAAGACGGCGAGGCGCGCTTCTCTGACGCGTCGGCGCCCTTCGTCTGACGCGCCCGGCCCCGCCCCCCGCCCTTCTCGTCCCGCCCCCGCCCCGCCCCCGGCTGCGCGGCGCCCGCCCTCCTTCAGCCCGAGCGGCTCTCCCGAGGCTGCTGAGGCGGCGCCCGGTGCCGAGGTCGCGGTCCCCGCTCCAGCCGCGGCTCGCGGGCCCGTGCCGGCCCCGGTCCCCGGCGCGGCCGTCCGAGGCCCTGCGGCGGCGGGCGATGGTGCGGCGGAGCGCGCGGACGCGGGCGGCGCGGCGGCGGGCATGAAGGAGGATGGAAGGGCAGGACGAGGTGTCGGCGCGGGAGCAGCACTTCCACAGCCAAGTGCGGGAGTCCACGGTGCGTGGGGACCGAGGCCGCCCCGACAGCCCCGCGCGCCCGCCCGGCCCTCCGCCCCCGCCCCCGGACCCTTCACCCTCAGGCCCGCGCCCTGGCCTCCGCGGCTCCGGCTCCCCGTCCCTTCCCTGCCCGCTTCCTGCCCCTGCCTCGGCCCCCGCCTCCTCCCGGCCTCTCTTGCCCGCGCCCGCTCCCTCTCCGGCCCTCGCGGCCCCCGCCCCGCCCAGCCCCGCCCCCGACCTCGCCCCCGACCCCGCCCCTCCCCGCGGCCTCCGACCCCCGCCCCCGCCCCGCCCCGCCCCCGTGGCCCCCGCCCCGCCCCCGCCCCGCCCCCGACCCCCGCCCCTCCCCGCGGCCCCCGACCCCCGCCCCCGCCCGGCCCCCGCCGCGCCCCGCCCCGCCCCGACCCCGCCCCCGACCCCGCCCCTCCCCGCGGCCCCCGACCCCGCCCCTCCCCGCGGCCCCCGACCCCGCCCCTTCCCGCGGCCCCCGACCCTGCCCCTCCCCGCGGCCCCCGCGGCCCCCGACCCCCGCCCCTCCCCGCAGCCCGTCGCCGGCCCTTCCCTGCCCGCGGGGAGGGCTGCGGTGCGCGCCGTGCTCTGGGACCCCGAGGGCTTCCTACCCGGGCGGGCGTGGGGCTGCGCCTCGGGGTGTGGACGGCGGCCCCTCGGGCGCGCGCCCCCGCTCTCCGCCGCCGGGCCAGGTACGCAGGTGGATGCGCAGGCGTCCCGCGGAGCCTGAGTGGGCCCGGGGGGTCGGGAAGGACGGGGCTGTGCGGAGCCCGCTCGCCTCTCGCGTTTGGACGCGGGCACCTTGTCCGGGTCAACACCTGGCCTCCCAGCGCCTCCCGTCTCCATGCCTCTTTCGTCTTCCCCAGTCCCCACGTGGATTGAGTTCCAAACCTTCCCGTGTGGGGTGAGAATATTGGTTATTTATGGGAGTGAGGACCTCAGCAAAAGTCCATTTTGCTCTGGAAGCAACTTCTTACGGAAGCAGCTTCCTTTGTTGCCCACGTGTGTGCTGTTGGCAAGGGTCAGGAAGCCGACTTGACCTTGGAAAGTCTACTTCGATGTTTTTATCTTCATGATGCACCTAGAATATGTTTTAATTGGGTTTATCTGTGTTTTCATAACCGTTATAAAATATATCCATTTTTTACATTTGTATTTACCCCTCCTAAGTTCTCTGCGATTCAATCACACTCTTGGTTCGACGTGAAAAACGTTCTGCTTTAGAATTGTCTAATTTATGTACTTACTGATCTTGAAAATTGAGAATCACTTTGGAAGTCCTACTTTGAATAAAGAGGACATATAAAGTCCGAGGTGGTGGAATTTGAGTTAGTGGAATTTGGTACAAATTTAGTTTTAATTTTTATAATTGAAGCTAAAATACACAGAGAGTAGTAGTTCATATAATCATAAACATACCCTTCAGATCATTTTATACTAAACACACCTGTGTACTTCCGAATCCACCAGGAGTTTGAGACCGGTCAGCCTGAGCAACATAGTGAATCCTCGTCTCTACCATTATAAAGAAAGAAAAAAGAAGCAGAATTTTACTAGCATCCCAGAAACCCATTCCTTTCCTCCTTCTAGTTACTTTCTCCTCCATGAAGGGTAAACATTGCTCTGGCTTCAAACACCATGGATTAGTTTTTCATTAGTTCTAAACTTTATGTAAATAGAATCTTAAGTATATGCTCTTTTGTGTCCAGTTTCTTTTACAATGTTTGTGAAATTTCTCCGTATTATTTGTGGTTATAATTCATTCTCAATACTGCAGTTGTGGGCACTTCCGTAGCTTATAGATTTTGGCTATAAATATATATATTTGAGATGGAGTCTTGCTCTGTCTCCCAGGTTGGAGTGCAGTGGCACGATCTCGGCTCACTGCAACCTCTGCCTTCCAGGTTCAAGGGATTCTCCTGCCTCAGCCTCCCTAGTACCTAGGATTACAGTACAGGTGTACACCACACCACACCCAGCTAATTTTAATGTTTTTAAGAGGCAGGGTTTCGCCAGATTGGCCAGGCTGGTCTTGACCTCCTGACCTCAGGTGATCCACTCGCCTCAGCCTCCCAAAGTACTGGGATTAACAGGTGTGAGGTACCGCGTCCGGCTGGCTATGAATATTTTTGTACATAGCTTTTGATGGACATGTTTGTGCATTTCTGTTGGTTATAGACCTGGGAATGAAATCTCTAGGTTAGAGTTTGTTCATCTTTAGTAGATACTTCTAAACAGTTTTCAAAAGTGGTTGTACCAGGGTACCCCTCCACCAGTACTGACAGTATCAGAGGTGTGGTTGTTTCTCATCTTTACCAACTCTTAGTATCTTCTGTCCTTTTTAATTTTTGTCATTCTCGCAAGTGTGTTATAGTGTTTATCATACGAGTAATTTTAATTTGCATTTTCCTGATAACTAATGAATTCGAGTACCTGTTTGTTTTTTATCCATTTGGAAATCTCTTGTGAAGGGTCAAATTTTTTCCCCCATTTAAAAATTAAGTTTATCTTTTTAAATATTGATTTGCAAGATCTTTGCAATATAACTGATATTGTAGTACAAATAGATATGATTTCTTTGTCAGATATACATACTAAACATATTTCTTTCCCACTCTGTGGATGCCTTTCTCTCTTGATGATCTGATGAACAGAAATTTATTAATTTTAATATATTCAATTTATTATTAAAATGTTTTTGAGGTTTTCTTTTTCTTTTCTTTTCTTTTTTTTTTTTTTGAGATGGAGTTTTGTTCTTGTTGCCCAGGCTGGAGTGCAATGGCACGATCTTGGCTCACTGCAACCTCTGCCTCCCTGGTTCAAGTGATTCTCCTGCCTCAGCCTCCTGAGTAGCTGGGATTATAGTCGCCTGCCACCATGCCCAGCTAATTTTGTACTTTTAGTAGAGACAGAGTTTCTCCATGTTGGTCAGGTTGGTCTTGAACTTCCAACCTCAGGTGATCCGCCCGCCTTGGTCTTTGGGATTACGGGCGTGAGCCACCACACCTGGCCTTTTTTGAGTACTTTTTTATATCCCTGTTAAGAAGTCTCTGCTTACTCTAAGACTATGATGTCTTGTGCTTTTCTGTAAATTCTTTATTGAATTACGCTTCTCATTTAAATTTGCAGTATATCTAGAATTTATTTTTTGTGTATGGTGCAAGGTAGGAGTCATGTTTTTTCTGCCCACAGGAATGTCCAATTGCTCCAGCACTATTTATGATTTTTGTCATAGATAGGTAACACTATATTCATAGGGTTTAATTTTAGAGTCTGTGCTATTTTATCTATTTGTCTTTGGTTTTATTTTACTTTTTATTGTGAGACAGGGTCTCACTCTTTTTCCCAGGCTGTAGTGTAGTGGTGCAATCATGGCTCCCTGCAGCCTTGACTTCTCAGGCTCAGTTGATCCTCCCACTTCAGCTTCTCTGTGGGTAACACCACCCATGGGCACCGAGCAAGGAGAACTGTTTAGACCCCAGGCAGAATTAGTGCCTGAAGAATATCTTAGTTTGTCGTGTTATTATTTAGCTATTTCCTTTATATAATCTTTTATGTATAATTATGTATTAGTTTATAGAATTTGTGCCTGAAGTATAACTTACTGCTTACAGACATCTATCGCTTATATCTAGCATACTTAGTTCTGTATAATCTTTTTATATAATTAGATAGGTATTGTAGTTGGAGCCATACTGACACATTTAGTACTGATTTATAGAATCCTTTTATATAACCATATAGTAGTTTGTAGTAGGAGGAATGCCCGGAGCAGTCACAGAACAGAAGCAGTACATGGGAAAACAGCCAAACCAGGACAAGAACCAAAGACCCAGGCGGTGGCGTCCCTGCCTGAAAGGGCATATGCTGTGTGGCAGGCTTGGAGCAAGAGCCTCCCCTTCTGATAGAGGAGTCGTAGTACTTTGCATCCAGTTCCTGTGGAAAGGAGGCCTCAGGCCTGAGATCTTGGAAATAAGTGAGGGAGAAGAACCCCTCTGGTGTGACCAGCCACAGTGGTTGTACACCCTGTCAGTCTTTTCTCCCTTTTGTGCTAGCTCAAATCATCCTCCCATAAATATCTTAAGAGAAGAGCACAGGTCTGTCAGCTCCCACTGCATTGGCTTACAGTATCCTTTTATTAGAAGTCTTTTAGGTCTCCAGCCCCTAGATAAGAAGTGTTATGCACAACACCTGTTGCACATGGCCCCCGCCTTGCCTCAGTGACCTAATGGGGGTGGACCCCTTTTCTGTACATGACCCTTGTACTGTGCATGGCATGGCCCCCTGCTGTGCATGGCCCACCTCTCTGCCCAAGTGACATAATGGGGTGGCACCCTCGCTGGTAACTCACGTGATTATGTATGTCCTATTACTAAGCCTATAGATGATGACCTCACGCATAACCCTGCCCCCTGCTTGTACCTAATAAATACAGATGCTCCTGGGCATTTGGGGCTCTCGATGATCTCCGCTCACATGTGGCGTGGCCCCCCGAGTCCAGATGCTCTTCCCCAGTTCTTCAGTGTCCTGTCTCTTTACTTCTTGGATCCTGCACCTCAGCACAGCACAAGGGACACCCCACGACCCTGTGGGGTCCTATAGCCCTACATTCCCAAGTAGCTGGGACTGCAGGCGTGAATCATACAGGTATGCACTAGCAGACCTGACTAATTTTAAAATTTTTTGTAGAGGTAAGCTTGCACCAAGTTGCCCAGACCGGTCTCCTGGGCTCAAGTGATCCTCCTGCTCTTTGGCTTTGGTTTTAATTAGTTAGATGTTCTAGAATTTGGATTGAGAAAGGGACTCATGTTAAAATAGTCCAGAGCTTTATTTGTCTACTCCTGAAAACAACACAGTTTTTGTACTGATGATAGAGTTCGTTTAGTTCTGACTCTCTTCACCCGTCTTTCCCTCAACCCGGCACCCCTGGCTGGTTGAGTCTGCTCCGTGTTCTATGGAACCAGTGTAGACAGTGACCGGGCTCAGGGTTCC